TGGTTGGTGATGGGGGGGCGGGGGCTGATTGACGGTCGAAGGGGCTAAGTGATTACCTGATCAGCTGGACACACACACAGTCTGAACTGCTGACTAAATGCCTGATTGACTGCTTAATTTATTGTCTAGCAGTTTACGTAACTAATTGGATAGTTGGCTGACAGTGCCAATAGTGCCAGCCACCACTAGTGCCAACAGTGCCAACCACCACCAGTGCCAACCACCACCAGTGCCAGCCATCACTAGTGCCAACAGTGCCAACCACCACCAGTGCCACCAGTGCCAGCCACCACCAGTGCCGCCAACAGTGCCAGCCACCACCAGTGCCAACCACCACCAGTGCCACCAACAGTGCCAACCACCACCAGTGCCTCCAACAGTGCCAACCACCACCAGTGCCACCAACAGTGCCAACCACCAACAGTGCCACCAACGGTTCCAGCCACCAACAGTGCCAGCCACCACCAGTGCCACCAACAGTGCCAACCACCGCCAGTGCCACCAACAGTGCCAACACCCTCATTACAATAACAACAAATACAGTGCCCTCGCATATATTGAACAACTATATCATCAAGTTATTTACCATCAGTATTTGACAAATAATGCAACATTTGATAATTATGGAAATATTTGACGTTGCAACTGTAGCACTAAATTTATATATATATATATATATATATATATATATATATATATATATATATATATATATATATATATATATATATGTCGTACCTAGTAGCCAGAACGCACTTCTCAGCCTACTATGCAAGGCCCGATTGCCTAATAAGCCAAGTTTTCATGAATTAATGTTTTTTCGACTACCTAACCTACCTAACCTAACCTAACCTAACTTTTTTCGGCTACCTAACCTAACCTAACCTATAAAGATAGGTTAGGTTAGGTTAGGTAGGGTTGGTTAGGTTCAGACATATATCTACGTTAATTTTAACTCCAATAAAAGAAATTGACCTCATACATAATGAAATGGGTAGCTTTATCATTTCATAAGAAAAAAATTAGAGAAAATATATTAATTCAGGAAAACTTGGATTATTAGGCAAATCGGGCCTTGCATAGTAGGCCGAGAAGTGCGTTCTGGCTACAAGGTACGACATATATATATATATATATATATATATATATGTCGTACCTAATAGCCAGAACGCACTTCTCAGCCTAGTATTCAAGGCCCGATTTGCCTAATAAGCCAAGTTTTCATGAATTAATGTTTTTTCGTCTACCTAACCTACCTAACCTAACCTAACCTAGCTTTTTTTGGCTACCTAACCTAACCTTACCTATAAATATAGGTTAGGTTAGGTTAGGTAGGGTTGGTTAGGTTCGGTCATATATCTACGTTAATTTTAACTCCAATAAAAAAAAAATGACCTCATACATAGAGAAAAGGGTTGCTTTATCATTTCACAAGAAAAAAATTATAGTAAATATATTAATTCAGGAAAACTTGGCTTATTAGGCAAATCGGGCCTTGAATAGTAGGCTGAGAAGTGAGTTCTGGCTACTAGGTACGACATATATATATATATATATATATATATATATATATATATATATATATATATATATATACTTTTTATTTTCTATGGCTATGTGTCCCCACATTGGCACCAGAGGTGGTACCCTCACAAACTTTTATTTTTTAAATATATATATATATATATATATATATATATATATATATATATATATATATATATATATATATATATATATATATATATATATATATACCCGAACAGGTGCAATATTCTCTGGGAATGTCTGTCTGTCTGTCCTTCTCTCTCTTTCTTGGTGGGAGTCGAAAGGGTTGTGGTGTCGACAAGGCTGTGGTGTCGACAGGGGTGTCGACATGGTGTGAGAATGCTGTACCTGTGTTACAGTGGCCGAGCTCCTCGCGGTATTACCTTGCAATATTATGATATGTTGCTCACTGCACAATGGTCTATTTATTATCATTCTTGAGTAAGTGAGAGAGAGACATAGGCTGGTGGGGGGGAGGGTAGCAGGGAGAAAGAGAGGGAGGGAGGGAGGGAGGGAGGGAGGGAGGGAGAGAGAGAGAGAGAGAGAGAGAGAGAGAGAGAGAGAGAGAGAGAGAGAGAGAGAGAGAGAGAGAGAGAGAGAGAGAGAGAGAGAGAGAGAGAGAGAGAGAGAAAAAAAAAAAGAGAGTTATTTATGCCAAACAATCATTACTACCACCACCACCAACACTATTTTCAACACTACCACCAACACTGCCATATCCCCACTACAACCACCGCTACCACCATCAATTACCACGGCTTCCGCCACCACCATAATTACCACCACCACCACCATACCTCCCATCATCGCCGCCGCCATCATCACCACCACCACCACCGCTACCACCACCACTATAAGTACCACCATCACCCCCATAGTTACCTCCACCACTACCACCATAACTACCACCACCACCTTAACTACCACCACCACCGTAACTACCACACCACCACGGTCAACTCACGTACTCAACTATTCATTGGAATCCAGATCACACCTGTGTGGTCTCCCGAGTGACTTAAGTCATCACACAAATGTACGTCATCAATCATCATCAATCAGCAGTCATCAATCAGCAACTGGTCAGCAGTCCACTAGTGATCGGAGCTGGTCTAACAAGCGATCCCCCCAATCCTCAAGTAATCAGCATCAGTTCAAGTTCAACCATCTAACTTCAGACTAACTTGAGTAGTTCCCAAGTGATCTTATCAGTCGGCAATTAAACATATCAGTCTCGTGCAAAGACCTGTTCGCTGACTCGGATCTGTCAGTCTTTGAAGTATAATGAATGATAGAGAGAGAGAGAGAGAGAGAGAGACAGAGACAGACAGACAGACAGAGACAGAGACAGAAAGAACTTGCGACCTGAAAGTTAATCTGCATCTGAACATAAATTGGCGAATTTACGATTATCTAAACTCGCGATAAAGTCTACGGACTACACGCAGAACATTTCACATCCACACACTTCATGGGCCTTTAGTGAGCAGTGCCTCCCTTTATGGAGGCACTGTGCCAGCCGCAGATCGTCACCACCCCCATTATGCCAGCCCTAATAACGGCACCATTAATTTAAACTTTAACGAGAGTAGCCCTGAGCGTCTGGCCCTACAACTCCGAACAGACATAATATCCTTTATACATATACATTATGCAGTAAAATGAAGTACATAATACAGTAAAATCTAAAACATAATACAATAGCATAATACATAATACAGTAATATATATAATACATAATACAGGAATATGTGATATATAATATAGTAATGTATATATTTCAATAATATGTATTGTATAATGCAGTAATATGTAATAAGCAATGAAATAATACATAATATAGTAGTGTATACATGAATGGGTACCTCAGATAATCAAGCCAGTGTGTGTGTGTGTGTGTGTGTGTGTGTGTGTGTGTGTGTGTGTGTGTGTGTGTGTGTGTGTGTGTGTGTGTGTGTGTGTGTGTGTGTGTGTGTGTGTACTCACCTAGTGCTTGCGGGGATTGAGTTCTGGCTCTTTGGTCCCGCCTCTCAACTGTCAATCAACTGGTGTACAGATTCCTGAGCCTATTGGGCTCTGTCATATCTACATTTGAAACTGTGTATGGAGTCAGCCTCCACCACCTCACTGCCTAATGCATTCCATCCGTTAACTACTCTGGCACTGAAAAAGTTTTTTTCTAACGTCCCTGTGGCTCATTTGGGTACTCAGTTTCCACCTGTGTCCCCTTGTTCGCGTCCCACCCGTGTTAAATAGTTTATCTTTATCTACCCTGTCAATTTCTCTAGCCTAGGGACTAGCCTAGTGGCATACCTCTGAGCTTTTCCAAGTTTTGCCTTGTGCTTGACAAGGTACGGGCTCCATGCTGGGGCCGCATACTCCAGGATTGGTCTTACATATGTGGTATATAAGGTTCTGAATGATTCCTTACACAGGTTCCTGAAGGCAGTTCTGATGTTAGCCAGCCTCGCATATGCCGCAGATGTTATTCTTTTGATGTGGGCTTCAGGAGACAGGTTTGGTGTGATATCAACTCCCAGATCTTTCTTTCTGTCTGTTTCATGAAGGACTTCATGAAGGACTATGTGTGTGTGTATGTGTGTTTGTGTGTGTTGTGTTTGTGGTATGTGTATGTGTGTGCGTGCGAACATGAGTGCGCGCCTGTATATGTATGTGTTGGAGTTATGTATCTTGACCAGCGAATCATTTTTCTCACCGTCAAAACATTCCCACATATTCCCTCGACATATATGACACACAGAACCTCCTCTCCAGTGATTAATAGCAATATTTTTGTTACGTTGCCTTAAGGTTTCGAAGGGGAAAAAAACCCCGATTCCCGTCCCGTTGCTAATTAAGAATGGAAATTACTTCGGAAAGGCTAAATTCCGGACAAAATTACCTGCCTGGTGGTCTTATGAGCCCCCCTCGTCTGGTGAGAGAAGATATATAGTCATCGCAGTTCTGTCATCGGGACGAATCGTCCTCTGTAATCGATAGTTTTCCTTTGCTCGACTTGTTTCTGAAGTCTGGTACTGGTCCTGTTTTTGTTTTATTTGTATGCAAGTCTCGCCTGTGTTTGTCAACAGCTGTCAACAACAACAACCCAGGGAGCTGTTGCCCAATCGGTTCACCCAGGAACTACTATGGTCCCATGAAGCAGGAAAACGCTGATCAGAAGTTAAACAGGATTTCGATCGATACATCACGTTCTGGATGAGGTGATTTACGACCCCCTAAAAACCGGATCCGAAACTGATTCTCTCGTGGCGGTTTACACAGGAGGGGGGGGGGGCTGGGAGAGGGGGGGGGGGGTGGGGGTGTTAGGGCTATAACCTGAGGTAAGGGTCGCTCAACATCAGGTCTCAGCCGACCCTCATTCTTTCTTTACTGCCTCTTCCACTCCGCCAATACACGATATCTACATTAACGCAGTTCCCCCTCTCACAAAGGGCGCCAAGATGGCCGACAAAACAAAGGCTTTCGAATGGTGTACTTGAGGCCCAAGAACGACACCTTGGCCGTATTGAACACCAAGGTGAACACCTTGGCCGTATTGAACACCAAGGTGAACACCTTGGCCCTATTGAACACCAAGGTGAACACCTTGACCGTATTGAACACCAAGGGGAACACCTTGACCGTATTGAACACCAAGGTGAACACCTTGACCGTATTGAACACCAAGGTGAACACCATGACCGTATTGAACACCAAGGTGAACACCTTGACCGTATTGAACACCAAGGTGAACACCATGACCGTATTGAACACCAAGGGGAACACCTTGACGGTATTGAACACCAAGGGGAACACCTTGACCGTGTTGAACACCAAGGTGAACACCTTGACCGTATTGAACACCAAGGGGAACACCTTGACCGTATTGAACACCAAGGTGAACACCATGACCGTATTGAACACCAAGGAGAACACCTTGGCCGTATTGAACACCAAGGGGAACACCTTGACCGTATTGAACACCAAGGTGAACACCTTGACCGTATTGAACACCAAGGTGAACACCATGACCGTATTGAACACCAAGGAGAACACCTTGACCATATTGAACTTGATTAACATTTTCTAGTTTAATTCGAATCTCTTCGTTGGAGGGAAGTATGAGTTCAAGTATGGTGGATAGAAACGGTTATAATTCCTTTTAGCGTGGATGTGAACATTCAGTATCTATTAAAGTAGAAAAGGGTTTACCCGGTGGTGGCCGGGTCTGTCTGTCTGTCTATCTCTCTCATTATCTTTCTTTGAATTTCTCTTTATCTCTCTCTGTGTCTTTCTGTTTGTCTGGCATAACCTCTGAGCCCTGGGTGGAGGCGGGCACCACACACCCCAAACCTCAGATATTACCATCGTTGTGTTGTTATGTACACATATTTGCCTATTACAGTGAAAGTTTATGTTAAATATATTTTTTGGAAATTTTTTCGGACATCAGTGTATGATGTTTTAGTATATGGAAAGAACAAATTATTGCTTTCAATTATAGTTTTTAGGACATTTGAAATATGCAGCTGGTACCAGAATCGCCTGGAGGTTCATAGGGGTTCCTTATGGCACAGTGTGCATTGATTGGTGGCAACCCTGACCCATCCACGTTAGGCACGTAACCCACAGCAATCACAGTGAAAAATTTGGGTCAGGCAAGGCCCAAACATCTTGCCTCTATCCTCAAACAGACAAACAGGCAGGGAGACATTGAAATTTTGGGGCATAGATTAGACTGTATCTTTCATCTGGCTATGCCAGAGATAGGCGGATTGTTCATAGCTTTAATAATTTCGTTACTGGCTATCAGTGTTTACATGAAAGAACTTGTTAGACTCTAAACATCCTCCTGCTGGCTAACTACGGGCTCACCATAGCCCGTGCTACTTAGAACTTTTTGTTCCAAGTAGCGAATCTTAAACAACATGGCTACACGAGTCTCGAGGTGTCCTAGGATGGCTAGGTGTCCTAGAATAGCCAGGTGTCCTAGGATGGCCAGGTGTCCTAGGATGGCCAGGTGTCCTAGCCCCATAGTGTCTTGGTGGCACATAGTGGGTGATGGTGTCCGACATCATCTTATCTACAGTGAATGGTGGTGGTGGTCTCCCTGCACCTTATCCAGGCAACACTGGAGATGTTCCTTCCCACTCTCTCACAACTGAGGGAGAGGTGAGAGAGGAGCTGCTCCCTCCCACTCTCTCACAGCTAAAGGGAGAGGTGGGAGAGGAGGCTGCGTCATTAGTGAGAGTTATAAAAATATTGGAGGATGCTTGAGTTCCTCCATTGTTTCCTTGACAGATGTTATGGTGAGTGGCCCGTTCCTCATGTTTATGAGGGCTGACGTCCCGTTCCTCATGTTTATGAGGACTGACGTCCCGTTCCTCATGTTTATGAGGACTGACGTCCCGTTCCTCATGTTTATGAGGACTGACGTCCCGTTCCTCATGTTTATGAGGTCTGACGTCCCGTTCCTCATGTTTATGAGGGCTGACGTCCCGTTCCTCATGTTTATGAGGGCTGACGTCCCGTTCCTCATGTTTATGAGGACTGACGTCCCGTTCCTCATGTTTATGAGGGCTGACGTCCCGTTCCTCATGTTTATGAGGACTGACGTCCCGTTCCTCATGTTTATGAGGGCTGACGTCCCGTTCCTCATGTTTATGAGGGCTGACGTCCCGTTCCTCATGTTTATGAGGACTGACGTCCCGTTCCTCATGTTTATGAGGGCTGACGTCCCGTTCCTCATGTTTATGAGGACTGACGTCCTGTTCCTCATGTTTATGAGGACTGACGTCCCGTTCCTCATGTTCATGAGGACTGACGTCCCGTTCCTCATGTTCATGAGGACTGACGTCCCGTTCCTCATGTTTATGAGGACTGACGTCCCGTTCCTCATGTTTATGAGGACTGACGTCCCGTTCCTCATGTTCATGAGGACTGACGTCCCGTTCCTCATGTTTATGAGGACTGACGTCCCGTTCCTCATGTTTATGAGGACTGACGTCCCGTTCCTCATGTTTATGAGGACTGACGTCCCGTTCCTCATGTTTATGAGGACTGACGTCCCGTTCCTCATGTTTATGAGGACTGACGTCCCGTTCCTCATGTTTATGAGGACTGACGTCCCGTTCCTCATGTTTATTAGGACTGACGTCCCGTTCCTCATGTTTATGAGGACTGACGTCCCGTTCCTCATGTTTATGAGGACTGACGTCCCGTTCCTCATGTTTATGAGGACTGACGTCCCGTTCCTCATGTTTATGAGGACTGACGTCCCGTTCCTCATGTTTATGAGGACTGACGTCCCGTTCCTCATGTTTATGAGGACTGACGTCCCGTTCCTCATGTTTATGAGGGCTGACGTCCCGTTCCTCATGTTTATGAGGACTGACGTCCCGTTCCTCATGTTTATGAGGGCTGACGTCCCGTTCCTCATGTTTATGAGGGCTGACGTCCCGTTCCTCATGTTTATGAGGGCTGACGTCCCGTTCCTCATGTTTATGAGGGCTGACGTCCCGTTCCTCATGTTTATGAGGGCTGACGTCCCGTTCCTCATGTTTATGAGGGCTGACGTCCCGTTCCTCATGTTTATGAGGACTGACGTCCCGTTCCTCATGTTTATGAGGGCTGACGTCCCGTTCCTCATGTCTATGAGGGCTGACGTCCCGTTCCTCATGTTTATGAGGGCTGACGTCCCGTTCCTCATGTCTATGAGGGCTGACGTCCCGTTCCTCATGTCTATGAGGGCTGACGTCCCGTTCCTCATGTCTATGAGGACTGACGTCCCGTTCCTCATGTCTATGAGGACTGACGTCCCGTTCCTCATGTTTATGAGGACTGACGTCCCGTTCCTCATGTCTATGAGGGCTGACGTCCCGTTCCTCATGTTTATGAGGACTGACGTCCCGTTCCTCATGTCTATGAGGACTGACGTCCCGTTCCTCATGTTTATGAGGACTGACGTCCCGTTCCTCATGTTTATGAGGGCTGACGTCCCGTTCCTCATGTTTATGAGGGCTGACGTCCAGTTCCTCATGTTTATGAGGGCTGACGTCCAGTTCCTCATGTTTATGAGGGCTGACGTCCAGTTCCTCATGTTTATGAGGGCTGACGTCCCGTTCCTCATGTCTATGAGGGCTGACGTCCCGTTCCTCATGTCTATGAGGGCTGACGTCCCGTTCCTCATGTCTATGAGGACTGACGTCCCGTTCCTCATGTCTATGAGGACTGACGTCCCGTTCCTCATGTTTATGAGGACTGACGTCCCGTTCCTCATGTCTATGAGGGCTGACGTCCCGTTCCTCATGTTTATGAGGACTGACGTCCCGTTCCTCATGTCTATGAGGGCTGACGTCCCGTTCCTCATGTCTATGAGGGCTGACGTCCCGTTCCTCATGTCTATGAGGACTGACGTCCCGTTCCTCATGTTTATGAGGGCTGACGTCCCGTTCCTCATGTTTATGAGGGCTGACGTCCAGTTCCTCATGTTTATGAGGGCTGACGTCCAGTTCCTCATGTTTATGAGGGCTGACGTCCAGTTCCTCATGTTTATGAGGACTGACGTCCCGTTCCTCATGTTTATGAGGACTGACGTCCAGTTCCTCATGTTTATGAGGGCTGACGTCCAGTTCCTCATGTTTATGAGGACTGACGTCCAGTTCCTCATGTTTATGAGGACTGACGTCCCGTTCCTCATGTTTATGAGGACTGACGTCCCGTTCCTCATGTTTATGAGGACTGACGTCCCGTTCCTCATGTTTATGAGGACTGACGTCCCGTTCCTCATGTTTATGAGGACTGACGTCCAGTTACCCATCTACTGCTTTCACAACTTAAAGCCTTTTTTAGCACGATTTATAACTATTCAAGTTTTTGGGTAAGTATATGGAAATAATTAGAAAATGACGGGTGATCCAGCCTCAATGTTATGTTACGCACAGTGTCACCAAAGTGCCATGGGTAACGTTACGTTGCCTGTGGGGTGAGCCCTGTGCAATGGCATAGTGCCTAAAGGGTGAGCCTATGCAATGGTCCAGTACTTGTAGGACCTGTGCAATGGTCCAGTACTTGTAGGACCTGTGCAATGGTCCAGTACTTATAGGACCTGTGCAATGGTATAGTGCCTGCAGAGTGAGCCCTGTGCAATGGTCCAGTACTTGTAGGACCTGTGCAATGGTCCAGTACTTGTAGGACCTGTGCAATGGTCCAGTACTTGTAGGACCTGTGCAATGGTATAGTGCCTGCAGAGTGAGCCCTGTGCAATGGTCCAGTACTTGTAGGACCTGTGCAATGGTCCAGTACTTGTAGGACCTGTGCAATGGTATAGTGCCTGCAGTGAGCCCTGTGCAACACTAGGTACGGACTGCTCATTCCCCCATGGCCTTGACCCGACCTCCGACCTCACTTTGGTATTCAGTAATTCACCACAAACTTTCTGGTCAAAACACGCTGCTAAAATCTCAAAGTTATTTAACGACTCACAATTTTCTTCTTTTAAATAAACTTTCAAATAATTATGAATGTAACTTGCTCGTTAGCTCACAACCTATTGGTTGCCATCTGGTAAATTAAGTATAGTAATTATATACTGCAAGTAATAAGTGGTATATTTGAACGCGTCAAATACACTCCTCCTCTCGTTACGGGATCACCATAGCCTGTGCTACATGGACATTTCGTTCTGAGTAGCTAAATCTGAAACAACAACATACACTTCTCCCACGATAAAATGGAATTTCAATGAGAACTATGGAGACATTACACACAGACATCATACTAACGTGATGCATCAAATGAACAAATCCACAAGGGCCGTGACGAGGATTCGAACCTGCGTCCGGGAGCATCCCAGACAATATCCCAGACAACTCTTTTTAACCCTGTCGTAGCTCAGTCGATTAAGGCAGTGTCTGGGATGCTCCCGGACGCAGGTTCGAATCCTCGTCACGGCCCTTGTGGATTTGTTCCATGGAGACGTATTTTGTTACGACGCTTCCTGGTGTAAATGTGCCTATTTGGGAGCAGGTGGCTAAGCGGACAGAACACTGGACGCCTGATCCTGTAGTCCCGGGTTCGAACCCTGGCTCAGGCGAGAAACAATGGGCAGAGTTTCTTTCCACTCTGATGCCCCTGTTACCTAGCAGTAAATAGGTACCTGGGAGTTAGTCAGCTGTCGCGGGCTGCTTCCTAGGGGTGGAGGCCTAGTCGAGGACCGGGCCGCGGGGACACTAAAGCCCAGAAATCATCTCAAGATAACTTCAAGATGGCGGAACCTACTTCCTCTGGCCCTCTGCTATCTCCCTTCCCTTACCTAACAATACGCAAGATAACGAATCTTAGAGGACTAGATGAAATAGTAGACCTAATCTATGTTGTCTTATCATCTATCATCAGTTAGAGGGTTAATAAAGCCTCCAAGATAGCTTACTTAATGACCACCAAGTATTCTTGGGCCTTGTATAGGAGCCATCTTTGTTGACACTGAAATATAAGTTTTCATTCTCACTGGATTAAAAAAGTATAAAAGCCAAATATCACATTCTGCACTTAGGAAAATTAGCTGTAAGAGATATGGATGGAGGATTGATCTTGCAAGTTACTCTGGTGGGGAGAGAATAGGTAGCGGAGGCAAGAGTTGTCTTCTCACAAGGATCGCCACCAGTGACCCAGACCAAGATAGCAGTGACCCAGACAGACCAAGATAGCAGTGACCCCAGACAGATTAAGATAGCAGTGACCCAGACAGACCAAGATAGCAGTGACCCAGACAGACCAAGATAGCAGTGACCCAGACAGACCAAGATAGCAGTGACCCAGACAGACCAAGATAGCAGTGACCCAGACAGACCAAGATAGCAGTGAAGAGGGAACAGTGACGAGTCTCGCGACTAAACATGCTCCTCAACTCAGCTTCCTTGGCTGATTTATCACCTAGTTTCCTTTCGATCTGTTCTTTCTTCTTCCTTTCGCGCTTTCTGTCCTTTACCTTTACCTATCTCCCTTCTTCTTCACCGTTCAGGCTTACCTCTTCCCTTCAAGACAATCTTTTCTTTGCACTTGTCTCAAAATGTGAAGTATTTTTTCTTTCTTGTGCATCACAGTTCATCTTCAAAGGCAGAACATTTGAAGACGGTTTTTGTCTGCTGCTGCTGCTGCTGCTGCTGCTGCTGCTGCTGCTGCTGCTGCTGCTTCTGCTGCTTCTGCTGCTCACTATCAAGAAATATGACAAGCCAGCTTCTGGAACGCTTGGAAAATTTTGCATAGTTCTTTATACATGAAGACTTTTGAGTTCATCTCCTTTACATGTGCTTTACAAAAATGTTTGCCAGTAGACTGTCTCTTTTCACTCGAGCGAATGGAAACTTTCGCAGTGAAGATGCCGCAACAAGCCGTTGGATCTCCTGTTGCTGGCTCTCTTACGGCAACCGAACACTTTCTTGTATTTGCTGTCGAAAGATTTTTTCCCGTCCCACGTCACTCATATGTTGCCTTGCAGGCTGATCGAAGAACTCTGCTGCAACGCAAGACGTTCGTGAGTTCCAGTTTCTGCCGTCCAAGACTTCTTCAGCTTCCGAAGTCACTTTATCATTACTTTCCCTGTCCTGCACAGGAAAAATATTATTTGTTGACAAATGTTATATTCTTCATGGTCTTCGCCAGGAATATTAATTTATGTTTTTACATCAATCATAAAATAGTATTTATTCTGATAGAGATGAAAACAAAGTCGATGGTTATTAAAGTCAATTTAATTAATTGTCCTCATTATTGTTGGTTTTATATACCTATTTTCATGTTTTTAAGTGACACTGGATACTGGCATCAAAGGTCCCGAATGTGTTTCATGTGAGAAATGATTCTTAAAATATGTTGCTTTACTCAAGCCATCAAGACGACGACTTGAAAACTTTATATTAGTTTTCTTTTGCCTTCGACTTTTGCAAATCTTTGGCGGATATCCACTGAAGACTTCCAGAGCTGGAATTTTGGTCTTGTGAATCACATTGAGGAGAAGGAATGCCGGACGTCTAAAGGCATTCCATTAAGCACATTACTGCAGTTAACTTACATGGGGTATGACTCGCCTTGTTTATTGACACCGTGTTCAGGCTACACCACGATGGTGTAGGGATACAACACCAAGCTGGTGTAGGAATGTGTATCACTCTCACACATGTATCATACATCACTCACACTTACGCTGCTGCCTCCACTTAACGCAGATGCCACAACAGCTGCGTGGACTTTAGATATGATGATGCTTGAACGAAAATTATATGTTGACAATGTGATCAGGCTTCCTCAAACCGCTGTCAATCTAATGGATATATCCCCAAACACCTGTTAAACCAAAGTATATTTCCACATGTCAAAGTATATATATATATATATATATATATATATATATATATATATATATATATATATATATATATATATATATATATATATATATACTTTGGCATGTGGAAATATACTTTGGTTTAACAGGTGTTTGGGGATATATCCATTAGATTGACAGCGGTTTGAGGAAGCCTGATCACATTGTTCATCACAATAATTTATACAAATACATATACGTATCCATAATCTGTTTATATCACAAATGATATGACCAAAAACCTGTCTGTGAATTATCATATAATTTTTCAGTGTCAGGATAGTTCATTTGTGGAATGAACTATGAACTGATGAACTGTTGAACTATGAACTGAACTGATGGTAGAGACAGACTCCATACACAGATTGCTGAGAGTGGAGGCTTCACACACACACACACACACACACACACACACACACACACACACACACACACACACACACACACACACACACACAAACACACACACACACTTAACAGTCCTTAATGTCTGGGAGAAGTGATCGCACCAGGTATCAAACTTTGAACAAGCCTCCACTTGAGAAGACTGAGCGAGAAGGCCCCAGACCAATGAACTCCTTCAACATGCCAACAATACTTGTCCCAACCTCAATCAAGGAGCCTCCGCAGCACCAGGATTATATACCAAGTCCCGCCCCCAACCAGTCCACGAGTTACGAGGATGCAGGACTTGAAGCGATTCACAGACGCTTCAAACACACAAGAACCTTAGAACCGAAACATTTGATCCGAGAACGCTTTGGGTGTTAGTGACTTTATAAGAATGCAAGAACACCAGTGTTATGTATTCTCATAAGCTCAATGTACTTCTTGTATATAAATAAATATGTTAATGAATAATAAAGAACTAAAAGCAACACACAACAGCCTCCTTGCTCCGTCCCATAAAAGCACCTCCATTCATCTCACCGAAAACTTTTCCGCGTATTTCCTCCTATCTGAATTTTCTTCTCCAGCAAATAGGTATAAAAGTACACACATACGCAGCGCATGTGGGTCGTAGTCCTAAGGGCCCGGGACCCATTCTCGGTCGAGGCTCCCCAAAAAATGGGCAGAGTTTCTTTCATCTGATGCATTTGTTCCCCTAGCTGTAAATAGGTACCTGGGGAGTTAGACAGCTGCTACAGGCTGCTTCATAGTGATGTGTGAGTGTGTGTGTGTGTGTGTGTGTGTGTGTGTGTGTGTGTGTGTGTACTCACCTAGTTGTACTCACCTAGGTGTACTTACCTAGTTGTGTGTCTGTTTGTGTGTGTGTGTGTGTGTGTGTGTGTGTGTGTGTGTGTGTGTGTGTGTGTGTGTGTGTGTGTGTGTGTGTGTGTGTGTGTGTGTGTGTGTGTGTGTGTGTGTGTGTGTGTGTGTGTGTGTGTGTGTGTGTGTGTGTGTGTGTGTGTGTGTGTGTGTGTGTGTGTGTACTCACCTAGTTGTACTCACCTAGGTGTACTTACCTAGTTGTGTCTGTTTGTGTGTGTGTGTGTGTGTGTGTGTATGTGTGTATGTGTGTGTGTGTGTGTGTGTGTGTGTGTGTGTGTGTGTGTGTGTGTGTGTGTGTGTGTGTGTGTGTGTGTGTGTGTGTGTGTGTGTGTGTACTATTTGGTGCCTGTAAGCTCGAGCTCTTAGCTCTTGGACTCCGCCTTTCTATCCGTCGGTTGACTAATGTACTGACTCTCAAACTGGTTTTTCTTTGTATATATTACACGGCCAACAGTACCAGAGAACGCAGCACCGGCGTGGTACCCCACCGCCTCCTGGGCAACAACAAACACAAATTGATACAGCACAGTTTGCTACAATGTTAATCCCGGAGTGGAGGGGACTAAGCTACAGGGAAACACCGAGTGAACGAAGTTAAAAGATGCGTGAAGCAAAGAGAAACAGAAGCGATATGATACGAACAATAACAAAACTCTTAAAGGTTATGGATGAAATAGAAATAGATGAAATAGTAATAGATGGAACAGAAATACAACTAGGCGAGTACACACACACATACACACACACACATTGACAGTTGAGAGGCGGGACCAAAAAGCCAAAGTTCAACCCCTCCCCCCGCAAGCACAATTAGGTGAGTACAACGACGCGAGTACACACACATACAAACAAACCTTCCTCAGTAACTCCGTTACATAACTTCTGCATCACTTCACAATTAGACACCACAACACTCCACACCTACACCACAACACTGCACACCTACACCACAACACTCCACACCTAGACCACAACACTACACTCCACACCTACACCACAACACTACACTCCACACCTACACCACAACACTACACTCCACACCTACACCACAACACTGCACTACACTCCACACCTACACCACAACACTACACTCCACACCTACACCACAACACTGCACTACACTCCACACCTACACCACAACACTGCACTACACTCCACACCTACACCACAACACTACACTCCACACCTACACCACAACACTACACTACACACCTACACCACAACACTGCCTCTCCACACCCCTCACATGTTTCACAACGTAATATAACCTAACCTTATCAACCAAGTCTTCCCCTGAGAGCCCCCATCCACCTTAAAACCCGACATCGAATATTTCCAACCACGAAGAAAATCCTGACAGGATGACAGGAGCGAGAGAGAGAATGAAGATGGATCAGAGAATGAGGAAAGATTAAGAGAGGGTGATAAGAGAGATGCGAGTGATGAGAGACATCGATTCAGAGCAGCAAGATACTAGATGAAACAAGATAGACAATTAACCTCATAATACGAGGAACCCATTTCCAGCTCATACTCATTTTTTTTTTACCGATAACTGACAGCAAAATGATTAGACATTTGGGTCCCTTGCGGATACCTGCATCAGGAACTCATCCTCCTGCCGTCTTCACTTGACAGGATGTGTCTCATCAGTGACGGATCATCAGCTTACGTGCGAGATTTATCTAGGAAGATACGTCCTGGGAAGATGACTTTGAAGCACGGAATTCGTGGCTTCAGCTACGATCTTGACGGCACACAGCTGGGGGGGGGGGCCATTAGAGTCACATGTACGCTTGTTATCAGTCACATGTGTGTGTGTGTGACTACAGTCATATATGTGGTTGTTATCAGGGGGGCTGATAACGACGGCACATAGGGGCCATTACTGTGTGGACTACATAATGTTACTGAGGGGCGCTCATCTTTAACAAATTTACTCTCGTTCCTTTCCAGTGCATTTCAAGGAGTTGATACCGGGAAGGATTGTGGCATTTCATAGCTTGACTTTAGCATGTCCTTTGATACTGTGCCGCACGAGAGAGAGAGAGAGACATTCAATATCAGAGGCACATAGTATCGACATTGTTTTTCTAAGAAGCATGAGATCGTTCAGACCAACTTGGAGTTCAGACCAAGTTGGGAACCGCAATATGTGGAGTGTCCCAAGACTCTGTCTTGGAACCTCTTTTATATATTTATAAAAATATATAACAATTTAGATAATTCTAAATATCTGTCCCCAGACGGACGCGAGGGCCCTGTCCCCAGACCGACGAGTGACCAGTCTCTATACCAAGATGAGGCCTCCGTACTAGACCGACGAAGATAGAGACCGAACCAATAATGTGTTTCGACAAGCTCCGATGGCATTTTAGCGAGAAAATTGGAATTAACGAGAAAACGAACGAAACATTTTTATTTGCGTCAACATTAATATCGCCCAGAATGTTTTGGAAGCCCGAACTGGTGCCCAAACAGGACTTTACGATAAGCCCGCTTACACTCTGGCCTGCAGGTAGTGGTGCTCACACCCACAGCCCCCTTCTTTCACACCCCAAGGAAACCACAATAGCTTGATATATCAATACGAATTCAGTAGAATTTTGGGTTAATAGCTTTTGTCCAATCGAGGCTAAGTGGGTTAAGGCAGGTGTTTGGGCAACATCAGCCCTGGAATCACAAACCGTAACTGTCTCTATTTTCCCCTTGTTACAACTTGTAATAAAGTTGTTACATCTTGGCTTAACGTGTTTATGACGTATTAGAACGTTGTTACAACTTGCTATATTGGTTGTTATAACTGGTTAGGAGGTGTTAAAACTTGTTCGAACGTTGTACCAACGTCGTAGTTTCAGTGTGTGTTTGGCGGGAGGACGCCGGTTCAAGTCACCTCATTGCTCCAAAATAATTATCTAAGTGCGATATAGTTATACTGGCCAGGTGTTATACTTAGTTATACTAGCTGTTCATAACTACCTGACCTTTCCTTCCACCAGACAACTCAACAAATCATCCTCTGGTTCCTTGGTAAAAAAAAAAAGTCACACCAAAACTAATTGCAAATCCTGTTGTAGGTTTGGTTACATAACTAATTAACTAAATAAACATACAGAATCAGACGTGTGTTCCAGTATACACAGAGTATGTACTCGGAAATGTGCGAGGCAGTGCAGTGATAAAATCGACTTGAGAATGGTCCAGGACGGACCGAAACGTCGTCGTCCCTTCACCTTCTAGTGTGTGGTCTGGTCAATAAACAGTGAGTGAGGGCCCTCAAGGTGAGTGTATAACATGAACCTCCAATTATGTATACTGTATGTCCAGGAATCTGATACTGTGAAAACTGAAACTCCAGGGGGTCTGCCGTTAAGT